ACACTGCTCTGGGTCAGTCGGCTCTCTGAACACGAATGTGTTCCCAACTCTGCCAACAAGAGCTCAAACTGCCCCACTGACATCATGAAATATGTCCAGAAGCAGTCGTGATACAGCTTGGATGAACCCAGAACTTCCCAGGACCGACTCATCATCGCTTGATGTTGGTTTTGAGGACGAATTTTCCGCAAAAGTTTGGAACAGAAAGAAATTCTAGATTTTATGTCACTTTTTTAAAAATGCACTTGGTGTGTAATGGCCTGTAGGTGTGGGATCCAAGATGATGGTGTGCTAAGAGGCAGCTTCCCTGATTGTGAGAATTACCCCTTTAAGAGGCACAGGCACAAATCCACAGGCAGCACGGAGATGAGACAGAGCGCTCTCCAGTCGTCAGTGGTTAACAAACACCTTCACTGCATTGCAAATTTTCCCAGGAAAACCAGTATAAAAGAGCCGAAACATGAGACGGTAATGGGAGTCACCAGTATATGAGAGTGAACAGACACTGCTAACATAATGCACAAAGTATCACACAAAGCGCTGGAATGTACTACGTGTCACTGTATTGGTGCAGGCACGATGAATAACCTCTATAATATTATCAATATATATCCTTCATAAATGAATGCAGCATTCTAACAGGTAAGAGGGTGTACTCTTACAGTTTTGGCAGTATGTTGTCATGTAACTGAAAGAAGGGTGGTTTGGCATTTTGCTAGACTTTTTGTCCAAGTCTTTAAAGGTTTTGTAATGATTGTAGTTTTTGAAGCTTAAATGTCTTGACTGATTTAAAAAAAATTATGGCACTATACAACGATAATAAGGTTTTGTTTTCTGGATAAATGGATGAGCAGCAAAACACCCTCACTGATCCAGCCTGGTCCACCCAACCTTAATGCCTTTCATTTGCTTCAGTACAGGCAGGTTTTTTTCATAATGCGCAGGAACTCCTGCTGGTTCACTTCCCCATCTCCATCCCTGTCCGCTTCATCTATCATTTCCTGCAGAAACACACAAAACACGAGGAAATGAAAAGAAGAACTGAGAGATGGAGAAAGCAAAACAAGCTGGCTTGATAGCATTCACGAGCAAATGCTGTGTTGACATTATTCTAAACTGCCTTCACAGCCTTTGGCTTTGTCAACACAACCCACCAGCTAGATACAGTAATATGCTTTTGATATTTTATTATTAGCTCTTTTATGCCATGATGTAGAGCCTCACCTGCAGCTCTTCATCTGTCAGGTTCTCCCCAAGCTCTTTGGCTACCCTCTTCAGATTCTTGAATGATATCTTGCCCGTCTCGTCGTCATCAAACAGCCGGAAAGCTTTTAAGATCTCCTCCTTAGAGTCCTTTTCAGCCTAAAATTAGAGAAGAGGGAGAGTACTTTACTCCGGACAATACAACTCTTTAGTAACATAGAATTAAAAGCAATGCAACACATGTCTACCATTTTCTGTGTCATGACAGTGAGGAAGTCTGCAAAGGAGATCTTTCCTGTGCCATCCTTATCAACTTCACCTATCATCTTCTTGATCTCCTCTTTCTTTGGTTCAAATCCCAGAGCTCTCATGGCAACCTGACACAGAGTAAGAAACGCAGATATTCAAAGCATACATAGGTAATTATCCTTCCTTAGCAGCGGCAGGATAAATTATGTATCATATCAGTGGGACATAATAACAGTTAATCTGGTCTTTAGCCGGTCTTAAAAAAGGTTAAAAAAAAACTTCAAATAGAAGATTGTAAGGTTGCTTCCAAACAGAGTCCATCACTGTGCAATGAGAATGAGTATTTACCAGCAGAAAAACATTTTTAAAAATGAACTTCTTTTATCCCCTTATATATTTAAGCCCTTTCAAAATAGTGAACAAAGTCTTTACTTTGGGTCGATAGTCATCATTTCAGTTTAACTTAAATAAGTTTGGCTAAATGAAGCACTAAATGATGAGTGTGCCAAATAACTATATATGCAGCTAACTGTACATGTAGACATCAGGGCATGAGATCTTTTACCTTAAGCTCCTTCACATCGATGTATCCAGAGCCATCAGTGTCAAACAGCTCAAAGGCCTCCCGGATCTCCTGCTTCTGTACCTCCGTCAGCTCTGGCTTGGGGGCTGTCTTCTTGCGAGGAGGGGGCACCGGACCCTGCAGGGATGGTCTCTTGGCAACGGTTGCCTGGTGGTGGGGACACAGGAGGAAAAAATATAAATTGTATTCAAAACGTGTTTTCCCCCATACCTAACCACTGCCGGTTTACAAGTTATACCAGTCAGATGCCACAAACGAACACGGAATTACGTAATTTCTAAATAATGAAATATGTTCACTCACCATCAGTTGCTCTGACCTGACAAATCTGGCTGCAGATCTTTTAGGCCAATCACTGTTTTCGTCTGGGCTGTGACGCTGTCATTTTGGGAAGGGGAAGACAATAAAGCGGTTTCCAGTTTACATCACTGCTTTAATGACACCTAGTCTGGGAGAAATATGTTATACAGTAAAGCATCGTTCTTATTTCGCTGTAACAGCCTACCTGCTAAAATGTGGATGAAAAAAGAAAAGCGCAGGCGAACCAGCTTGTGTCACGAAGCGGATGTTTGATTTGTTTACCTTTTGTGCCAGCGGACAACCAGTGGTTCCTGGACGTGGAGGAGTTAGAGAAAGGATGCACGGAGGCACAACGAGAAGTAGAAATCAAACGCAACAGTCGGGAAAAAGGCTGATTGGTTGGTGAAAATCACGGGGTGCTTTACGGTAACAACATTCACAGCGGCGCAGAAGGTGTGCTACGGATAGAAGCTGCTTGGAGATAATGTGGAGATCCGAGAAGTCATACCTAAATAGATATGATGTCATTTCATTATGTAAATGGTGTGATTCCTCGTGGTAATCAGTTTAATTTCCTCCGTGCTAGGGATTCAGAAACACACTGAGAGTCTAACACAGTCTGATGAGACAATAAATCAAGTCAAAGTCAGCTTTATTGTCAAAAACCAAAGCATCCACGGCCCCCAGTGCACACTAAAGAACATAAATTAAAAATATAAAAATAAAATAAAACGCTTATATACAACACAATATAATACAGTCTTATATAAACGCATCATTGCTCACAATAATGCACAACGATAATAATAATAATAATAATAATAATAATAATAATAATAATAATAAGGGTTAGCACGACGTGGAAAAAGCATAATCTTCTCCAGAATCAATAAAGAAGAACATGAAACGAGAAGTTATTAGCCCAAGTTATATGGAGTTTAATACTGCAATTAGAAGGCTCTTCTTATTTTATTTATATATCTATTTATTTAATTTTTTCTAAACACTTTTCTACAGTCTGTGATATTTGCATCATATGTGAGCAAGTTATTTATGCTTAAGCACAGATCTTGTAATATATGCACCGAGATGGTGGAGATCTGTGCCAGAGGTGCCTGCAGGATCAACAAATTAATCCACGAGGCTGGAAGCATCATTGGCCTGAATCTGGATGCGCTGGAGTAAGTGAGGAGCAGAGGTTCACTGATATAGCTGCTCTCAGTCACGCACAATCCATCATCCCTGCTTCATTCCACCCAGCAGACCCAGCAGACCTCATTCTCCCTCAGACTTTCTGAACCCTGCTGCCATAAAGAACGCTTCAAGAAATCAATTCCGCTGCTCTCTGCAAAACTCACACAAACACGAGTCTGTATTATACCTTCTTGCTGTTGTTTCTCAGACTCACTGTGTGCATATTATTTGTTCATGCTCTTTTGCACGATCTCAGTTTTATATATTTTTTTCTTTAACGTCATTTTTTCTATTCTTCATTTTTATCACTGTTGTATACAGTGGCGGTCCTAGCCTGTTTGGCGCCCTGGGCGAACACTCCCTCTGGAGTTTTACGATTTATTTTTGGAGCAACTGTAATCCACATTATTTCCTTAGGGATTAATAAAGTATTCTGATTCTGATTGTTTCAGGATGACCTGCCATTATCCAATGACACATCTGCTTTCCTGTATCTTTTGCTCGTTTCTCTTCCTCTTCTTTTCTCTTTTTTCTAAACTGAGCACCTGATGACTTTGAACTTTTCTTGTCCATCTTCCATTGGTTTTAATTTTGCACTCCAGTATGAACACAAATCCCCCAACCCGAGGATCACCACAACATAACCTAATAGACCTACACCTTAGTTCACAGACTGGCTTTGTCTAGTGTGAATTTCTGGGATTTCGCACAACCCAGGATTCAAATAAGGAATACATAATGGGCTTGGATTTACATCATTATGAATGAAATGCGCTCTATTTGGAAGCAGCCGCCCCCCCTCCCTTTTCGATGGGTTGTGTGTGAGACTTTAAATCATCAAACTGTAAATTATACATTTTAAATTGTTATTGATCCCTTTACTCCTGGTCCTAAAGTGTATATTTATTTTCTTACTCTTCTTATATTTATTGTTTGTTTACTTGCACTGCTGTAACTGGAGCCTCGTCGTATTGTCTCTCTATATACTGGACTGTATGTAGCAGAGATGACAATAAAGTTTATTTTGACTTCAGCAGCGAGCAGGCGCACCGAGGACTGCCCGTGTCGCCCCTATCAAAAACCGCTACTGGTTGTATATGCCAACACGCCTCACATTATAAAGCCTTCACTCTGCTTGCAGTACTTTCATTTTTGGCAGTTGTGTAAGCCCTGTTTGAGTGGCTTGTAGAACAAAATGTTTGAAGTAAGGCTGAGATGGTTTGGACATGTGCAGAGGAGAGATAGCGGATATACTGCAGAAAAGATGTTGATTGTTGGGCTACTAAGTATCAAACATCACGATTTTCAAGATGGCTCCTTGAAGTTAGATTTTCAAGGGGCGTGGTTTTTGAGCTGGCGGACGGCTGAAATAAGCTTCTGCCCCCTGATTGGTCAATGTGGTGGCGTTCTTTGACGTATCCCAAATACTACTGGCTTTTCGCAAGGGTCAGCTTCGTGACTTGACCAATGACAGAGCGGGTTCTCTCTCAGCTGATTGAACATTTCAGGTGTGTCGTGCGCGGTTTCCTTGGGCTCGGGTATATGACACAGGAAACAGTGTCGCATGCTTCTTGTACGAAAAGTCGTCACATTTATCTTGTCTGCGCTGAGCATCGATTTTCTCCACGCAAAAGTTTTTCCCACGCTGCCTGAGACCCACCACGGTTTACTTACGTGTTGGTCACTTCTCATTGGTTTCCCATGGCTACACGTGTGCGACCGGTGAGTTAAAACATCATTATCAGCCCAGTTGTGCTTTGATATTTTATGTCAGCGCCGTTTATATTCACTTGTGCTTGTCAGTAATCGCCCCCCGCTTGTTTTGATACAGAGTAGTAAACGGTGTGCGGTCATCGGGGGGTCCGGTTTCTTGGGCAGACACCTGGTGGAGAAGCTGCTGGACCGAGGCTACTCTGTTTCTGTGTTTGACATCCGTCAGAGCTACGAGCTGCCCGGCGTCACCTTCTACCAGGGAGACCTGTGCGACAAACAAGTGAGGCTGCTCTTTCAGATCTCTGAGGGCTCAAAGGTCAAAAAAGGAAAAAAAATGGCTAGACCACAAAATATTGGGTGATAATCGGGTTAAAAGGCCTTAAATGATTGCTTATCGGGTCAGTTTAAAGAGTAAAGATTTCTTTAAGTGCAATTTTCTAATTCATTCTTGCACCAGATAACAAAACTCCTGCCCCAGGACAAACAAATGCAAACCAAATTTCACCAGGTGTCTGCTTTGTTCTGCTCCAGGCTCTGCTGGCAGCTCTGAAGGATGTGTCCTTGGTCTTTCACTGTGCCTCTCCATCGCCTGCCAGTGACGACCGTGCTCTGTTTGAGAGGGTCAACATCCAGGGCACACAGACTGTTATCCAGTCCTGTATAGAGTCTGGAGTACAGGTGAGGGAGAGCATTTAGGTGCCTAAAGTTCACTCTTTAGAGAATAAGAGAAGACAAAGTGTCTTTAATGTGCAGTTTTGTTTTGTTTTTTTCTTTGCCAGAGGTTGGTCCTGACCAGCAGTGCCAGCGTGGTGTTTGAGGGGACTGACGTTAAGAACGGGAGAGAGGATCTGCCGTATGCCAAGAAGCCCATTGACTACTACACAAAGACCAAAATTGAGCAGGAGAAGGTAGGCAGGAACGTAGGAGGGTGTATTCGAGTTTGTTGGTGTGACTGGCAAGGCCCTGTAGTTGGCACTGTAGCCCACAGGCAAGAGAGAAATTTTTAGTTGTTATTTTAAACCAAAATAGGAGTGAAATGAAGGCTCTAATTTCCACTTTTTGATGCAGTCAGTCATACATTTTAGAGAGAACAGGAGAAATAATAAACTCTTCATTTGCATTTCATTTGAATGCATTTACAAGTATAATTTAGCCTCTTGTTTTCTATTGTCACATTTTTAAGCCTCATCTAGACTGTTTGTATCTGTACAGTTAGATACATAGAAAAAAAAACCCCTCATCTTGATAATGGCTGAACAGAACAGCTGGAGTAATTATGCAGATTATGGAGATGCAAATGTTATTAAATATATTAAAATAAAATGGATAATTTAAGACAAATATAACGGCATAAGGAAGAGAGAAAAACGAGAAACAAAGACCTCACAGTGGATTGTGCATGAATGCATAAATACACAGATTTGTGTATTGTTTCCAATCTGTAAACCGACTCATCTCAGCAATATTATGATGAATAGATCTTTTTTTGAATTCTCAACATATTATTTGTTTCTATCTGACATATCTTCCTATCTTCATTACTCAGTTGTTATACAATGGAGGGCCACATTTGAGCCATCTAATAGTATACCTCTTTTTCCATCCATCTTCTTCCACTTATCCAATTCACGGTCACAGGGGGCTGGAGCCTATTCTAGCTGTCATAGGGCGAAAGGTGGGGTACACCCTGGACAGGCTGCCAATCTATCACAGGATTAACACCTGAAGACAGACAACCATTCACACCTACAGCCAGTTTAGAGTCACCAATAGGGCTTTGGAGCGTGTTGAACCTAACCTGCATGTCTTTGGACTGTGGGGGGGAAGCCAGACTACCCAGAGGAAGCCCATGCAAGCCCACAGGGAACTGTAGCTTGCCTCCACCAGTGTGTGAATGTGAATGAATAGTGGAATTGTTAAGCGCTTTGAGGGTCTCGAAAAGTGCTATATAAATGCAATCTATTATTATTATTATTATTATTATTATTATTATTATTATTATTATTAACATGCGAACAAATAAAAATTCCTACTAGCCTACTTCTTTTGCTTTTAAATGCATATATACATGCATTATCCACATGATCTTGTTGCATTATTTTGTTAACTCATTCACTGCCAGCCATTGGCAGTGAATGAGTTAAACCCATTGACTCATTCACTGCCATTGACGGCTATAGACGTCAATGGCAGTGAATGAGTTTTAAGATCCAATATTTAATCTGGTAACATTTTAACGTTCGAGTTAATGGTTTCTATATTAACGTAAGTTAGGTTAAAAACTGTTCTTGAACCATCAGAGCCAATTCAAAGAATTCAAATCTAGTCACCGCTAGAACAGCTGCCTTATGGAAAACCAGGTTTTTGGCTTGGGTGCACAGCCTATGATACCTGACATCTAAATGATGAGGTTCAAAAACACATAGGCTAAATTTGTTTTTAACTTACTTTGTTATATACTTCCACAGTAGTGTGATTACTTTTTTGATTTGATGCAATTACGACAAGGGGACCAATTGCAACACTGACTTTTTGCGTTAAAATAATTTAAATAGTTTTCATATTAGTGACAATGTTACCAATTGTATTGTTAGTTGGTGAACATGTATATGTCCCTTTTGTCAAAATGTGGCTAATGTACTTGTTGTAGTCTCTCGTTTATGAAGGAAAATGTAATTTTTCTTGTCTCCCCTGTTATAGCAAACAAATACCCAACAATGCACGATAAAGGTGCCCTCTAACTTTAGCTTGCTACCCTGTTTGCAGGTTTATTGTAAAAATGTATAAAGTTCGATAAAGAAAGTCCTTAGTTGAAGATGACTGTTATAAAGGCTGAATTCCTTTCAGCCTTTCAGTTGACTTAAGACCGCCATCATTGGGTAAAAGCAAGTCTATAATCTGATCATTTTTTTTGTACCTGTCTTGTTTTTTAATGCGTATTAGTGCAGAGAGAGTCCAAATGTTACATTTATTTCCCTCCAAATTTTTATTCCTTAATTCTTGTTTCTTGTCCATTTGCTATTCTGTGGGTTGTCTGAGAAAAGCGAGGCCTGTAGGGGCTTAGAGCTGAAGTCTGGAAGTTGCAGACACTCTTTTGCAGCTGTATCCTATTCTGTTTTTTGTGTTTAGCTGGTCCTCAAGGCTTGTGACAAGCAAAAGGGCTTCCTCACAGTTGCAATTCGGCCTCACGGCATCTTTGGTCCTCGAGATCCACAGCTGGTTCCCATCCTGGTGGACACGGCTCGCAGGGGCAAAATGAAATTCATCATTGGGTGAGTCATAGCATTTTAAAAATTTAATAATCACTCACTTAATAGAAACAGCTTGAATATGATAAAACACAACTAACAAACTGATAAGACTAAATGATAATCAGTTCAGCAACAATCACTGCTGATGATCTGAAGGTCTGCTGATTTTATTCCAATCCCTGTGTTTCTTTGACGACATCAGTGCACGTGTGTCATAAGAGCTCAGAGTAAAGCCTGCGTCAGCAAAAAGACAAGAAAAACACCCCCCAATATATTTTATGTATTTGAGGGAGCCAGCAGCTGCTGCATCTGCATGTACTGCCTTCAGCATAAAACACTGTGATGTGTTGTTTGTGGTGTGGAAGGCTGGACTCACAGCATTTGACAGAAAGTGACAACCTGGAGTTGTAGGATTTGAAAGCGAGGCTTTCTTTGGTCTTGAGTGGGTTTTGATGGTGAAACAATACTGAGTTGAATCAAGGATTTTAGCATTCTCTTCTAATAAACAAGGTAAGTTATCAGTGAAGTATTGGTGTTTCTGAAATACGAAGCTGAAAGCAGCCTTGAGATAGTGGCTCAGCCCACACAGCCATGTGAAAAACAAAACAAACTTGAATTGCTTTCTGTATGACGTTATCAATCTCTCACATAAAAGTGGAGGAATTTTGGCCCACTCCTTTTTACAACATTGCTTCAGTTCATTGATGTTTACCCACAACTCTGTTTAAGGCCTTCTATGGCATTTCAGCCAAGAAGGGGTGTGGACTTTGACTGGTTCATTGCAACATACTGATTCTGTTCTTTTTCAGCCATTCAGCTGTGTTTGGGATCATTGTCCTGTTGCGTAACCCAGTTTTGCCAGAATTTTAGCTGTCGGATGAATGTTCTTACATTTGAC